CCCCAAAACCCCAAAACCCCAAAACCCCATCAATTACAATCAAGTTATAATAAAAGTAAATATAATTAAAAATTCACAAGAATACAGATGATTTTAACTTCATTTCCTCTTTTTCTCTTTCAGTAAACTGCTTTGAGCCCTTTTTACTCCTACTGCTGGCACTTTTCTTAGCCTTGCCGTTTCCCCCTTCTGTTCTACTATCAATTGACTTACGATTCATCAACTCAATGTCTCCTTCAGTAACCTTACTACGCTTATAGTCTGTAGTTTGACTGTGTGGTCTCTTAGACTTGTACTTCATAGCATAAGACAATCTAGAGAGTTCCACTTACTAAGTTTATGTATCAACTGAGTCCTCAAACTTTTCAAACTATTGTGAGCGGGATAATCTTGCTGTTGGAGATGTAGCTGATTCCAAAACCAACCATTAAGAAAGAGTGAAATAGTGGAAATTTAGCAGGCAAGTCTTGAAACATCCATAATGTGAGGAATTATCTTCTTAGCTCTCACCAATCATTGTACTATCAAAGATCTAGTTATCATCTAGAGCTATAACAACGATTTCTTCATTCTAGATTTCTTTTATTTTCTGAGCTCTGATCATTCTATAGATTTTAAAGGCAACAATCGGCTCAATTATTAAACTTGTGAAAATAGTATTTACTACTGTAATCGATACTATTACTGGATTAAAGTTCTGTAAAGCAAGAGTATAGCTTAAAAGACCTTTCGTATTATTTTGACAAAGCAAAATTTTACTCTCTAAATGATTGATAAGATTCTTCTTCTCCATTTTCTTATTGATCAAATATGATCCTAAATTATTAAGTACTTAGATTAGAGCAATGCTACCAATTAAATAGAGTGGTCCAATCTATCCAATAGTTTGTAAATTAAGCCCTAGTCCGATTCCCATTAAAATATCACAAATAGCTCTTGCTGTGTAACTTAAAGCTCTGAATATGCTCAGCAGCAACTATGCTCTCTCATTTTCTAGATTTTTCTAAGCGTATATTGACTGTATAAAAGCGCAGGTCATTAATGCTTGGAGACCTGATATGGTAAATGATTCAGCCATAAGAAAAGATACAATGGGTGACAAGATCATCATCAAGATATCAAAGTTATCAAAATTATTGTCCTTGTTTTGATGGGATTACTTGAGTGAATAACTAGCAAGAAAAGCCCACGAACATCCAAGTACCATTGTAAAGAATACATTAGAGAATAGTCTGAGCATTATAAATTACAAATCCATATGCTGTTTGGCTAGGGAAGGATGCAGAGTCTGAGAAAGCACAATTAAAAATGTGTTGAATATAAGCGACTCTGACTGCATGAATAAGATTTGAGGCAGTTTTAACCCACTTTCCCCCATTTGATTGATCATATAGAAATTCTCAGTAGCGAATACAGCAATGCACAGGAGTAAGCACTCATAAAAGGTATGAAAAAGTCTCACTCCATAGAGAATAATAGCAGCTGCTAAGACCTTTGAGACAAGATAAGAGAGTCCATACAGAGTGATAGTACCTAATCTGTCTAGGAATATTCTTTCTTTTTTCAATGTGTAAACACTAGATCAGATTAATAAGATCATATGAATATTTACCTTTCAAATAGAATAGGAGGAACTAGGAAGACCTTAAATAGAAAGGCCTGACCCTTGCGCATCTCCTCCATATTCTCCTGGCTTTAATAGACGAGAGAAAGCAATCCCACTACCACACCAATTATTAAAGACACCTGATTAGTTCTGATAAACTTAGTGAGTCTCCATTTCTATAAGAACTGCGAAGTCTGGTATGTGATTATCATAATGATTATCATCACTAAGATCTGTGTGCTCAGGGCTTACTATACATTCGTACATGTAAGGGATAATAAATAGAAATACATGCTCGTTCTAAGAACCAGAGGTGGCAAGATGTTCTTTAGGAAGTTTGCCAGCAAGAGAGCTTTAATCTTTGTCAGAGTTATTTTCCATGAATTTATATTAATTGATTTGTTTAAATTTTAAAAGCAATGAAAATTATAAAAGTATATATATTATATAAATTATCAAGATAATAAGTAATATGGGCGCTAGTTTAGTATATCTAGAGAAACCAAACAAGGAAATCAGCTTTGAATCAGGTGAGAATGAGCACCTCAGATACGTAGCCGGAGAGATGCAAGGCTGGAGAATCAATATGGTAAGTAATCCTAATATTTAATGAGTCAATGCTGCTCTCACTGCTCCCTTAAATTCACTAATAAATTGCACTTGCGATTCGTAATCTGCGATTCACAATAGTAATCATTAACAATGACTTATGTAATTTGTTAACGGGTATAAGATTGAATGATGTATGGAGATGAGCGAAAGTATTAGTCAAAATGCACATATATACGATTTTAAAGCAAATATTGATAAAATACTTATAGGAAGACGCACACATCACAAATCTGAGTTTTGTAAAGGGATCTAAGAATCTTGCCCTATTTGGTGTGTTTGATGGCCATGGAGGGCGAGAGGTTGCAATATACACAAAGGCACACTTAGAACAGACCATCAAGGACAACGAGAAGTTTAAGCTAGAAGATTATAAAGAAAGTCTCAGATAAAGTTTCTTAGAAATAGATAAACAATTGGAAAAAGAACCAGGCAGAGAAGAAATAGCCACAATGAAGAGATAAAATCCACCCAACAAGGCTCCTCTGTTCAAGCTGCTCGGAGATATTTCAAATACCGCTTCAGAAGGTGGCAATGATAATTTGATGCTAGACTCAATTGGTTGCACTGCAAACTGCATTTTAATAGAAGATATGAAAAAGTTATATGTTGCTAATGCTGGTGATTCCAGATGTGTAATGGCACGTGGAGGCAAAGCTATTCCCCTCTCATATGATCACAAGCCTGACAATGATGAGGAGAAGCGAAGAATTGAAAAGGCTGGCAGTCAAATTGTGGAAGGCAGAGTTGACGGCAACCTAAATCTCAGCAGATCCCTTGGAGACTTGAAATATAAATAAAATAAAGAACTCACGCCAGAGGAGCATCCAGTAACAGCCAACCCCGACGTTCTTGAGTTCGATCTAAATGGTGATGAAGATTTTATCATTATGGGTTGCGACGGCATCTGGGAAACTAAATCTAACCAGGAAATGGTTGACTTCATATACGAAAAAATAAAAGAAGGCAAGGAAAGCTAATAGATCGTTGATGACCTACTAAATGATATATGCTCTCCCGACTATACATAAACAGGTAAAAAATAGATATTAAAATTAACTTATCTATAGGTGGCGTTGGCTGCGACAACATGACTTCTATCTTGATATAATTCTAGAAGAATAAGTGAGCAAGCCTGTGTAGTATGTCCACTGCGGCTGCCACTCATAATACCCAACAGAACATCTTATGATTTAGTCAAATATGACTCCTAAAAATTCACCTATAAACTACTTGCAATCCATCCATTTTCTAATTTCATCTCTTCCCAATCAATCCTATTTCTATTATTATTATTATCAACATCACACATATCTTGTTATCTTGGGGTTTTGGGGTTTTGGGGTTTTGGGGTTTTGGGGTTTTGGGGTTTTG